ACCTCTTCAGAAAAACGAAACTCCTCGAAAAGACAAAGAGTGACAATTTGAACGCGCCCCTGCCCAAGCATACAGACAGTATGCCATAATGGATCAACACAATCGTGCTTCGGATAATGTCCGTACTACAGAAGGCAAGAGTGTGTCCTATCAGAGTATGTACTAAGCGAGTTCCACAGCACTTACCTTGTACACATCCGATGCTAGCTTAGAGGAAAGTCTGTCCATCAGCTGTGCCTGCCCTTTCCCCTCCAGATCACCGACGAGCAGAGATGAGCGCGACCCGTACTTCACTCGTACTGCTACACTGTGCTCGTTCTTCGTGCTTCCTAAGTTGGCAGCTAGAATCTCAACTCGAACGCTACTCTTTCCTCCACAAACACTATCAGTCCAGGTATTTCCTTGATGGCAGTCCCTCTCGTAGCAGGGCTGTCCACCCTTTAACGTCATTGCATTGACGTCATCCAGCCACTGACGGATTTTACCCCCTTTTACACCACTACTCCCGTAGGCGTCACGTGTTAGCCCTATGAACACACGCAGGCTAGATGGTGAGCGCTTCCAGGTTTCGTCGCGTTCGGAGTGATGATAACGATTCACACTGCGCTTGTTGTTGGTCATGTGTGCCGGGAATCCAAACTGGCGAGATGGCGAACTGAACTTGGACGGTGTTCGTTCGCCAATCGGAAAGATCCTGGGAAGATAGCTAAAGTGGTCTTCATCCGGATGGGTTACGATGATCGTTGTCAAGCGCTGCATCAATGTCTGGTTGCCATTAAGTTTAGCTTCTTCCAAATAGCCTTTAACATCACTGGACGTCCATACGCGATCTGAACTGCCTGCATCGATCATGATCACGTGGCCGTTATGCTCGGGACAGACAATCAGTGTGCAGTCGCCTTGTCCAACGGGCAGGGCGATCGTCAACAACTCACCTCTTGTGTTGCGTCTGGTGTTGTTCATAACGACCGGCGGTGGCAAGTTGGAAGCCGATGCACGGCTGGCTGGGTAGCTATACACTGATGAGAACACAAAGCACAAAGCTAAGATCACCTTCAATCCCTGAGTGCTGTAAGGATAGCGTGCCCTGGACACCGGTACAGGACAATTCAATATAGCCATGGCTCCACTAAGGGGGATTCTTCTTCTGTCAACCTGTCTATCCTATCAGAACGAGACAACCTCTTCTGATTCCTACCTGGACTTGGGCTAAGTAGCAACTGATTAGTGTAGCATCTCCACCGGTCATATGTACCACCACGCGATGTATATGTCGAAAGATTTCGTGAACGAATATTTGTACTTATACAGTAGTAAACCTGGCAGATGGACAGCACGGCCGAGGGGAAACATACCATCCGGGTGGACAAGGATATCACGCACTGTCATCTGCTTCTTCTTGATGAAGTCGACCATGCCCACCTCAAACTGATTGACGAGCTGATCAATCTGCAGGAGCAGTCCATCACAAAACACAACGACAGCCGAGATCAAGACGAGCTCGGTTTTAACACCACACAGCATCCATTCAGATCAGACTTAGCATGCAGATCTAAAAAAGAAAGAAAGAAGGAAACTGGTAGTGAGTACTGCCTGTGCCTCCAGTGTCTGCGGTGAAAGGAAGAAAACAAAAGGAAAGCAACGGCGTAGTACGCATGTAGCTCTACAGTGCACAATCCATGCAGCATAAGAACTATAGTACAGCAGTGGCAAAATGGCAATCGAGTTGAAAAAGGCACAACAAACCTTCTACAGCACCAACAGCAGTTCACATTGACGCAACAGCAGTCAGTTCATGCCCCCTTCAAGCAGGCATTACAACGCACAACAGCAGCCAGTTCATGCCCCCTTCAAGCAGGCATTACAACGCACAACAGCAGTCAGTTCATGCCCCCTTCAAGCAGGCATTACAACGCACAACAGCAGCCAGTTCATGCCCCCTTCAAGCAGGCATTACAACGCACAACAGCAGCCAGTTCATGCCCCCTTCAAGCAGGCATTACAACGCACAACAGCAGCCAGTTCATGCCCCCTTCAAGCAGGCATTACAACGCACAACAGCAGCCAGTTCATGCCCCCTTCAAGCAGGCATTACAACGCACGGGGTGTGGTAAGGTCACCGAGAACTGCACCACTTACAAACTTGGAGATCTTGCCGACATAGGTGGCATTGGCCTGCCGCACTGTTATGTTCAACTGGTCGACTTTGACAAACAAGCAGGACTCAGTAGGCTGGAGGGAAGCAGATGCAGCGCGCGCGCGCACACACACACACACACACACACACACACACACACACACACACACACACACACACACACACACACACACACACACACACACACACACACACACACACACATGCAAATATAGAATCATTGGCAGCCCTGGCAAGCACAGAAGTTGTCCAAGAGAAGGACTCGGCAATACGACCAACTGCCCCTCAGTCATGTAGCTTGTAAGCAACGTGTGCACTGTACCACAACAACAGCTAACACTCACAGGTTTCAATGCGTATTAAAAGGTAGCCGCTTACATTCGACTCAAGCCACAGCTCTTTTTCAAAGCAGGCCCGGAACTCAGCCCGTGTCATGTAGTTCTTGGCACGGAAACGGCTCTGTATGACAAGAAAACGGTGAAGGAAAGAAACCAAGATAGGAATTAGCAAATGGAGAAAATTACCTGAATATGATACAACAAAGGAATGCACCCGAACAGAAAATACTGCACTTGCATAATGCCGCCATGACTCAACAAAAAATTTGCCGGGTCCCATGACTTGCTCACTTTGTACAGAGCTGAGCTGAGCTTGAGCTCGCCTTGCTCCTTGTCCCTACAGCTCTCCAGGAAGTCAAAACTCATAGAAAGGGGAACTGGAAGCCAGTGCTATAAGTTCCCAGCCATCGTGCATGGGTGCCGGAAGCAATATTCCATTGGTCCGGCTTCGCCAGAAGGGAGTACCGTACTGGCAATATATGTTGCCGCGTAACGCGTAACGCAGGGGGTGCGGCGTATCGCGCGACCAGGCTAGTGCCAGGCGCGTGCACCGTATGAGTTTTTTGGTGTCTGGAAACCACCTTTTTTCGGGCAATCTTGCCAAAAGAAAAGCGTGTAGTACTGGATTGGTTATCGATCCTGCAAACGTATCGATCGACGGGCAGTTTACAGTACAGTGACTATGTCCTTATTTCGAAGTGAGAGAGAGTTGCTTTGCATGCAGTTCGAAATACATTATTCTCTTTTTCTTCAGTGGAGAGTAGCCACGGAGGGATCGATCTCTAGCTCTGGTTCGCTCCTGGATTGGCGATGACGTTCAAGAAATCCGTTTTGTCTCGAAATTTGAGTCAAGCACGCGCGATGCAAGTCAGTTCAAGGATATGATTGACGATATCTCCTGCCAAACCGTTGACTCAAATCAAGATCGCCACAGCCTTTCGTTCTCGCTCATGTGCGCAGCAGAGATGTTCGTCAAAAACGTTGTCGACTGGAAGACGTAAAAATGTGCGTCCATGATCCACTTGCGCTGCTTCAGAACGAAGCGCTGCTCCGGCCGCGACTCAAGGAAGCAAGGTCCATAACTCTCTATTGAAATCATGTGGAACATTGCCAATACATGCTGAAAACTTCGTCATAAGAACAGAAAGAAAGATACGTCGAATGTAAGCAGTGTTTTGATGAAACAAACAAGCCTGGAGTGGACTAGTGAAGTACCATACTCCATAGTCTGATAGACATAGTGTTATTATCGACTGTAGTGTAGCCTGGACGGCTAGGCCTATCAAACTTTTACGTGTTCAATAATTATGACAAACATGTATATGAGTACATTGACTTTTGCACCCTCTTTGCAAATGCTTTTTGAAGTGCTGGTATGTAAAAGGTAACCCGTTTTATCCTGCTATCGATTATTCATGTACCAACATTTTCATGTAACCGGCATCGTCCCCTCCCTCCATTCCTCTTTATTCTTATTTCTGTCCTTTCTACCCCTGTACCTGGTTCCCTCTCAGACGCGTTTGTGCCGGCATGATCTGATGATAGCAGTCGGACGAGCCCCGCATCTCATCAGCACCAGTGTTCATTGGTGCCCTGCACCCCTGATCTTGAGTCCCCCCCCTCCCTAGATCCCTCCTCCCTAGCCGGCTGCCCTCGCCGTTATCTCCGAAGGGATGTTCGGGGATGCGCATCTGCACAAAATTCATACATAATTATACAATGGGGCCCCAGAAAAAAATTACCAACTCTAGAAACCCCCCTTTCAAGACTCGGTGCACGCCACTGAGTGCGACAAATTTTCGTTGCGTTCATAACGCGCGTCCGGCGGGGTGCGGCGATCTTTTCATTGCAGTTTGCACTGCAAAGGCTGAAAACTGTGAAAGCACGTGTACCGCGTGGCAAAAAAAAGGACTGCGGCAATATAGAAACCTGTGTAACGGCTCCTGTGCGACTTTGCATGTAACGCCCTGCGTGCGGCAAACATGTGCCAATGTAACGCTTCATGGCCTCACTGCGGCAACATATATTGCCAGTACGGTAGTAGACGGGGGTCCGGGGGACCTCCCACAAAAAGGAAATTTCGGGGGGAAATCAAGCCACATCGTTTCGACTGCTTTTATGAGGTTATCGGCAAAATGGAGATGAAAAGTGTACATGGTTTTCAGTGAATCTCTGGAGAAAACCCTTCTATTACTCCTTGTTATCTCATTTTCACTTTTGTACTAAATTTGACAATTCTTCATGGAAGGTCTGTGAAAGACTAACATGGACCATTCATAGAACTAAGTTGAACTCGTAACATGTTGTCCTTCTCCTTTTTGATCATTCATAGAACTTTTCAGATCTTGTTCAAATAGCAAAATTAGACAACAGGGAGTAAAATAAAAGAGGGGTTTTCTCCAGAGATTCACTGAAAAACATTTTCAATTTGTATCTCCATCTTGCTGAAGATCTTGAAAAAAGCCGTCTTACTGGCCTCCAATACATCAGTAACAAATAGGAAGAGACAGAGAGAGCAAATAATTTATGTGAGTATCTCTGTACACGCATGAGGTAGCAAATACTGGCAAAACAACGTATCCAGTAGCCATTACCTCGCAGTTGCTGTTGTCGATAGACTGATCATGAAAGTCTTGACAAAGGTAGGTCAATTCTGCAACATTTAGCCACTCAGAGGAGTCGAACTTGGCAAAGGGCTGCGTCCGCTTGATAGCCTGGAAGTGTCACGATCACACCGTGTGCAGAGAAAACAACGACGACACCACCACCACCACCACCACCACCACCACCACCACCACCACCACCACCACCACCACCCCCCCACCACCACCAAAAACAACAAAAACAAAAACAACAAAGAGAATAAAGATTTGAAACAACAACAACCTGTTCTCTTATTGGCCACAGGCCATCGTGAGAATAAAAGATTTCAAACCTCTTATTGGCGATGGTGCCATCGTGAGAATAAAGAATTCAAAAAAACAACAACAACAACAACAACAACAACAACAACAACAACAACAACAACAACAACAACAACAACAGCAACAGCAACAGCAACAGCAACAACAGCAACAGCAACAACAACAGCAACAGCAACAACAACAACAACAACAACAACAACAACAACAACAACAACAACAACAACAACAACAACAACAACAACAACAACAACAACAACAGCAACAGCAACAACAGCAACAACAACAACAACAACAACAACAACAGCAACAGCAATAACGTGGTGCCATCGTGAGAATAAAGAATTCAGCAGCAGCACCAGCACCGACCCCCACCAACAACAAAAGCTCAGCTACAAACTCCATCCTGAGAACAAGAAGTACATGAAAGACATGGCTACATGATAAGTATGTGGCTGATCCTTACCCGCTGCACAATTTCGACCATAGCAGGCGCTCTCGTAAAAAGCCTCTTGCTCTAGAAAATGAAGGAATACAGCACAGAGCATACCATGAACTCAGTGTTTCGGGTAACATGGCTAAATTATCAACGATGACGATTTCTGAAAATAGTCGCATGAAAACAACATTAAAATCTATACAATCATATTATTATTATTCCTCTGGTGTCGTGGTATGAATGTGTTCCCTTTATTGATATCTATACAATTATAGCAGTTGGCCAAGCAATATGGAATATTTCCAGATATTTACATACATGCAACATGCACTGAGCATAATAAAACAGCTGAACAAGTAGAAAAATAATGGGATATGCTTTCATGATGATCATGATGCTAGGCAAAGTACTAACATCGCACAGCTGATAGGAGTGCTTGGTGATCATGTCCGCCTCTTCATGACGACCTTGCCTGAATCACACACACACACACACACACACACACACACACACACACACACACACACACACACACACACGCACACACGCACGTGCGCGCACATACAGCCAAATATAAGCAAACGCACGCACACACGCACGCAGGCACCCACCCCCACACACAAACAAACACACACACACACACACACTCATTTGGTCAATACAAGCAGAATAGTGAAACTGCAGTGCCACACAACACAAAAAGACAAGCTGACATTACATGTATATGGAAACAATGCCTGATGGTACTACTGCGCCATGCCATAAAAATCAAAGTCCACACAGAAATTTCAATCGAAATCTACTTGTTCACCCTTCCTGCTGGGCTGTAAGTTGTGAGTATAGTACCTATTACTTCATCTTTACGAAACATACTTCAAATGTCATTTCATTTACCGTATGTCAGCGCCTTTAGAGCCATGGCCTTACATTCGAAACACCGCTGCTTTCCCAGCTGTTTTAGATGCAAAAGGCGCACCCACTGCGCTATGCCATAAAGGTCAAAGATCACACAGAAATTTCAATCTAAATCCACTTGTTCACCCTTCCTGTTGGGCTGTAAGTTTGTTAGTACACTCGGACGTCTCTTATCCGGGCACCTTGGGACCGGGCACTGCCCATATCTCAGGATAACTCATCTATCACGTACCATATCAGTTTTGAGGAAGTTTATTTGGCACGTGTTGTACATGCTCAGGATAAAAAATAATCCATTGATGAAAATGTGTGTTATCACTCCCCCCTCACGTGACCGCGGACTCCTGCATATACACTCACACAATAACCACGCAACTGTTTGGGGATAGCGCGCTTATTGTATTATGCCAAACTTGACACGCTGAGTCCAGCTTGACTCAGCTGAGTCCCTAACTGCAATTTACTGCTCTAACATGAAGCCGTGCCTGGAAGAAGGGAAAGAGCGAAAAAAGAAAAAAAAATTCTGGCCTTCTGCAAGCAATAGCAAGTAATGAGTGACGGCTGTGTAAAGTCGCACAACCATGCAGTCGACCGGATGATGGTGAGTGTCCGGCACACATCTTGCTCTGCTGCTCCACCTAGTACCTGCGCATACCTGATACGGTGGTGCGCTTACGGGCGGGCTGCCTGGGCCCCAGATGCCTCCTTGATGCGCCACGGAGTGCCGTCGAAGCACCTGTATCACTTCGGTGATCCAAATGCGAATGCAGCCTTGCCGGTCGCCCGCCGGCCTGCCGCCTACGCGACCAGCCTGAGACTGGCCCTGCCGCATTTGGCGCTTCTAAACGCTGCGATCCGGTAGACAGCTCACTGGGCTGCCAAATACGTGACTGGCTTGAGGACAGTTCCATACTGGGCAGGGCGCCCAGCTCAGGTCGCACGCCGTAGCGGCGTGAGCTGGGCGCGGTGAGGGTTGGTGATAACTACAGTTTCCTCCTTCCTCCTCCGGAAACTTCCATTTATCACTCCCCCCTCACGTGACCGCGGACTCCTGCATATACACTCACACAATAACCACGCAACTGTTTGGGGATAGCGCGCTTATTGTATTATGCCAAACTTGACACGCTGAGTCCAGCTTGACTCAGCTGAGTCCCTAACTGCAATTTACTGCTCTAACATGAAGCCGTGCCTCCCAAAAATAATGGGGGTGGCCTCGCCGCACGCTATCCCCTATTCTTGGTCCCGTCGATCTCTGTGCTGTTCGCTGTAGACCTGTGATGGCATACCTGATTCGGTATACAGTGAAACCAGTAGCTAAAGACCACCGTGACCAGCGACCAGTCTGGTACTACCGACCACTTTGCCGGGCACGGACGGTCTCACATTCATAATGGTTGTGCGGTGCAAGCCTGCAGCCAAGGACCACCTGCCACTAAGGACCGCTTTCTCTGGCTTAAAGGGGTGGTCGTTAGCCACAGGCTCAACCGCACATGTATCTCTTGCGGGTCAACCCTGACCACCTTCCGGCGGCCTGGAGCTGCCGTCCGGGCACCTTCCTGGCCGCCAGATCCTGTGTCAGCTTGAGGGCGTCTACCAAGGGCATTGCCATGAAGGACTGCTAGGCTTTCCCCTGGTTGGTAGCTCCTGCTGGTGCTGGGCACTACTGAATACGCTGACGACTTGTCAGCTTCCGCGGGTAGTGTTCGCACGGGGGGATACCTGGGCGCCCCAAGCCGGGCAGACAACAGCCGAAGGGCTGTCGTGTTGGATACAAGTGTGACTAGCTACCCGCCTGGTACTATGGACACCTTCGCCGGGCACGGACGGTCTCACATTCATAGTTTGCGGTGCAAGCCTCCAACTAAGGACCACCTGCCCCTCAAGACCGCTTTCTCTGGCCCCAAGGGGTGGCCGCTTAGTCAAAGGCTCCACCGCACATGCATCTCTTGCGGGTCAACCCTGACCACCTTCCGGTGACCTAGAGCTGCCGTCCAGGCCCCTTCCTGGTGGCCAGATCCTGTGTCAGCTTGAGGGGGTCTACCAAGGGAATTGCCATGAAGGACTGCTAGGCTTTCCCCTGATTGGTAGGTCCTGCTGGTGCTGGGCACTACTGAATACGCCGTCACAACTTTTCCGCTTCCACGGGTGGTGTTCGCACGAGGGGGATGCCTGGGTGCCCCCCGCAGAGCCGACAACAGAGCCAAAGGGTTGGCGCGTCGTATACAATTATTAGTTTCTCAGTTATTCTTGTATTTTGCGGCTTCCCGCCCGCCGATCGTCCAAAAAAAATATGGGGTGAGGCCCCTATCCTGCAACAGGCAATAAATGTGGCCGGGAGTATGCGCTAAGGGCCAGTCAGGACCTGCTGGGTGCCCGAGCTACGGTGCTAACAAGCAAATGCGAACAAGCAAGCTCGAAAGGAGATCTTCGGTTGCACTCCCCATCTCAGCTGCAAACAAACCACGCTCCGAGGGAGAGCTGCCCCTGCATTTTGCAAGCCTAGCTGTAAATATACAAAGCTCCAAGGGGAAATGCCCCTGCATTTTGCAAACATAGCTGTAAACTTCCAAGGCTCCAAGGGGAGCTGCCCCTGCATTTTGCAAGCATAGCTATAAACATCCAAAGCTCAGGGGAGCTACCCCTGCGTTTTGCAAACCTAGCTGTAAACCAACAAAGCTCAAAGGGAAGCTGTCCCTGCATTTTGCACACATAGCTGTAAGCATCCAAGGCTCCAAGGGGGGGCTGACCCTGCATTTGCAAACATAGCTGTAAACATCCAAAGCTCCCAGGGGAGCTGCCCCTGCATTTTGCGACCACACCTGTAAACATCCAACTTCAAAAGCTACCAGGGGAACTGCCCCTGCAGTTTGCAAGCATAGCTGTAAACATCCAAAGCTCCAAAGGGGAGCTACCCCTGCGTTTTGCAAACCTAGCAGTAAACCTACGAAGCTCAAAGGGGAGCTGCCCCTGCATTTTGCAAACATAGTTGTAAACGTAGAACTAGAAGGCTCCAAGGGGAGCTGCCCCTGTATTTGCAAATATAGCTGTAAACATCCAAAGTTCCAAGGGGAGCTGCCCCTACATTTGGCAAACCTAGCTGTAAACCTACAACGCTCTGAGGAGAGCTACCCCTGCATTTTGCAAACCTGGCTGTAAACATCCAAGCCCCAAGGGGAACTGCCCCTGCATTTAGCCAACATAGTGGTAAACATCCAAAGTTTCAAGGAGTGCTGCCCCTGCATTTTGTCCGCACAGCTGTAAACTAGTTTTAAAAGCTCCAAGGGGAGCTGCCCCTGCATTTTGCAAACATAGCTGTAAACATCCAAAGCTCCAAGGGGAGCTGTCCCTGCATTTTGTCGCGTAGCTGTCAACTAGCTAAAGCTCCAAGGAGAGCTACCCCTGCATTTTGCAAACGTGGCCGTAAACATACCCAGCTCCAAGCCCTTTTTTTTTGTTTCTTCCTCGCAAACATAGCTGTAAACATACCACGCACTAAGGGGAGCTGCCCCTGCTTTCTGCAAGCATCGCTGTAAACGATTACATACAAGGCTCGGAGGGGAGTTGCCCCTGCTTTTTGCAAACATAACTGTACCAGGCCCCAAGGGGAGCTGCCCCTGAATCTTGCAAACATAGCTGTGAACATACAAAGCTCAAAGGGGAGCGGCCCCTGCGTTTTGCAAACATAGCCGCAGCGCCGGGCATAACGCCACCCAGGCGAGGCGCGCTGCCGCTGCCTTGACCAATGCCGCCGCAAACAACACGCGCAAAGGGGCGCTGCCCCTGCATTTGCTCGCATAGCCGCCGTATCAGACCGCCGGGTCAGCCGCCATATCAGACCGCTGGGTCAGCCGCCATATCAGACCGCTGGGTCAGCCGCCATATCAGACCGCTGGGTCAGCCGCCATATCAGACCGCTGGGTCAGCCGCCATATCAGACCGCCGGGTCAGTTGCCATATCGGACCGCTGGGCCAGCTGCCATGTCGGGCCGCCGGGTCAACCGCCGCATGGGCTAGGGGCGCTGCCCCTGCCTCTGCCGCCGCCACAAACAGAGCTCAAAAGGGAACCACCCCTGCATTTGCTCGCAACGCCGCCGTATCAGGCCGCCGGGTATTCCGCCGCATGGGCGATTACGTAGGGGAATCGCCCCCGCCTCCGCTAGTACAACTGAATAAGCAGCATGGGCCAATCGCCCTGCCCGCCGGGTGCGCATAATGTGTGAGTGTGTGTGTGTAACGCACATACGCGTGTCTGCAATATGCCCTGCGCGGTCGTGACGGATTAATCCGTCGCACCTCGGGTAAAGTGTTAATTACTGAAAGTAAAACAAGGTCGCCAGCCCGCCAACACCGGCACGTACTGCCGGCTCGCCGTGGTACCTAAACAACAATGGCAACAGCGACGACAGCCGCAAGGAAAAAGATAACAGCTTGCCATGTCCAAACAAAGCCCCAAAACAGCAAAGTAGACCCCACATGCTGAGACTTGGTGTAATGCCGCCTAGTACGAGTAGGAAGGGGAGGGGAGCGACAGCACTTAGAGGCGAAGCAGGGCGAGGGATGGAGGAGAGGAGGATAAAGAGAGAGAGAGAGAGAGAGAGAGAGAGAGAGTATGGGTGTGTGTGTGTATGTATGTATGTATGTATGTATGTATGTATGTATGTATGTATGTATGTATGTATGTATGTATGCGTGTGCGTGGGTGTGTGTGTGCATGCGTGCTTACCCACGTGTGCTGAGAGAGATAGACTACACAGCGAATGAAAAAGGAGGCACGCATTGGTTGAGAAGAAGTTCAGCCGGTTTGCTGCCATGATTAGTTGCTCCCGCATAGCATGAGTTCGGGACTAAGCCGAGTCCAGCAGCTGGATTAGGGAGCCGATGAGAGGAAATGGACTAATCGTCCGCGTGAAAGAGCGTCCGCAGCGGAGTTGTCCGTGACCGTAATATGGGTAGTCAGCGAGATAAAGCCTTGTGTTCTGCTACCATGCGGGGGCTGAAGTGGGCTAGTTCCGTCACGGTTGGATTTCGGCAAGTCCCGGATTTCAGACTGCTCCAACTGCCTTTTGTCGCCGTGCAGTATGAATTTCTTGTCGGACTACTTAGGGCCCCAGAGGGCGTAAGCTCGTGTTGCAAGGCGCGATGGTTCGGAAAGTCTGCCAGGCCTCGACCCAGTTAGATTAGAGATTCAGTTTTTCTCTTGCCAGAAGAGGAGCCGCCAATGACAATTCCATTCAGTGATTGCCATCGGATTGATCGATTCTAACACGTTTGGCTGCTGGCTGCGTGTGGGCAGGACGGGAAGGAAGCATTGTGGCCAGGTCGAAGTATTCCGCACGCCGTATTGTCCTAATCGTCTCCCGTGCGCCAACACATGCGCCGGCCGGCATCATAGCGCCTCCAAGGAACTCAACTAAACTGGTCATACACGACAGTGTCCATGCCTGCATTTTCGGCCGGCATGCTCATCGCCCGAGGGTTGTTGGTCAGGGCCGACGCTGCCGTCGCCGCGGTCTCAAAGTCAAACGAGGAATACCAGCAATCCGCTGCTGAGTAGGATCCATGCTCAGGTACGGGTATAAACCATGTAAACCAACTAGCTTTAGAGTAAACGAGAGCAAAAAAATTCTGGCCTTCTGCAAGCAATAGCAAGTAATGAGTGACGGCTGTGTAAAGTCGCACAACCATGCAGTCGACCGGATGATGGTGAGTGTCCGGCACACATCTTGCTCTGCTGCTCCACCTAGTACCTGCGCATACCTGATACGGTGGTGCGCTTACGGGCGGGCTGCCTGGGCCCCAGATGCCTCCTTGATGCGCCACGGAGTGCCGTCGAAGCACCTGTATCACTTCGGTGATCCAAATGCGAATGCAGCCTTGCCGGTCGCCCGCCGGCCTGCCGCCTACGCGACCAGCCTGAGACTGGCCCTGCCGCATTTGGCGCTTCTAAACGCTGCGATCCGGTAGACAGCTCACTGGGCTGCCAAATACGTGACTGGCTTGAGGACAGTTCCATACTGGGCAGGGCGCCCAGCTCAGGTCGCACGCCGTAGCGGCGTGAGCTGGGCGCGGTGAGGGTTGGTGATAACTACAGTTTCCTCCTTCCTCCTCCGGAAACTTCCATGATTACACAAGTTGGCAGTGACAAAACAAGCAATTGTGCTTACGAAAAAAGGTTCAAAATCCCCGAATTCGAAGCATTTTGCCACAGGAACTCAAGCTGAAGGTGCCCGGTAGAGAGACGTGCCCGTATCTGAGGCGTCCGGATAAGAGACGTTTCAGTGTATAGTACTTATTCCTTCATTTTACAAAACATACTTCAAATGTCATTTCACCGAGTACAGTCTGTATCGGCTAAAGCGTACCCTTTTGTTTTTCTGCGATGTTATCACTACTATATCCGATGCAGCACCACAAGCGATATTACATGCACGTGAACATAATACGGGAGGTGCGTGACCACGTCCAAATGACCATGTGCGTACAAGTAGGCGTAAGCATGCAAACAATACTAACTGCATCATACATGTACGGTTGATATAATGGTGCCTTCCAGGTGCACATGCACATTCACATGCACACACACACACACACACACACACACACACACACACACACACACACACACACACACACACACACACACACACACACACACACACACACACCACACACACACAACCGTGGATGGCCCATAGCTACACCGGACCAAACGAATGCGGAAAGGAAAAAAGGGGAAGTATGTGTCGCTTTAATATCACTATAGACAATATCATCGTGGTGGTGTGTAATGCATGTTTTGATTCGGCTACACTATTGTAACAACTACTAGTATCCGATATATCATTACATCCAAAATACACAATCACGCACGCACGCACACACACATACATACGCACGCACACCCCCCCCCCCCCACACACACAGATACTCACTTTTCTAGATAGTAGATGACGTCCGTAAATACACGGTCACCATAATCTGCTGCATCCATTGTTTTGAGGCAGTACTCCACCATAGCTGAGTCATTCTACATGAATGCAGTCAGACACAAGTTAGTACAAGTACAAACAAAAAAATCAATGCAAATAAGGCCACATACCCCCCACCCCAATTCATAATGATAATACAGTTGGGCAGGGAGGATATCCAACATATAACAGCAAAAAAGGAGAAGGACAAACTTTGCCTAAATCTCCATTGCAGTGAAAGGGAAAGTCCCATCTACCTGCATCCATGGCTAGCCCTTTTCTCCAACAAAAGCCCATAAGGCCCCCAGAATTAATTCGCTACTCCGGGTACACCATCTCTTTCCACGTGACCGCAAAACAAATATTTCAAGTCCTGCAAGTACAAGAGAGGATAAAACCATGGCTCTATTGTCTTGCTGATCGGTGACAGATGCCCTCATGGAACCAGCTCAGACGTGTTTTCCTGCATAGCCGAGATCTGGGGCCGCCGGCATTGGACAATAAATAGATACTGATACCGGCAAACTGGTTACTCCTCACATTTCAAAGTCGCAACCACTATGTTGTACTAATGGTAAATCATCATCAGCCTTTTCGCGTTGATATCGTCAAGCAAGCTTGGCTAGTCTTCGCTTAGGCCAAACGGAATGAAGAATGAGGAACAAGCGGGACCAATGCGGTGCTAATACGCATGCAAATGCAGGTGAATAGAGATATATTTCAACAAAGAGACAAGGAGTGCATGGGCTACACCGCTCTATAAATATTACGTACGCAGCTGAGGTGTAGTCCTACATGAGCACTCAAAATTCAAAATGCAAGCCAAGGGAAATGCTATGCCCATACCTCCTGCAAGAAGTAGCGGAGAGCGCTGCACTTCCCATAGCCCTTAAGCAGCCCTCTCTTGTCAAGCTGCAAGAACAGAGGGATGGGGCTCTGCACAATGACAAAACACACACACACACACACACATGCATGGACGTGCACGCACGCGCATGCATACACGCATACAGACACACATGTCACGAACAAGCACATAAGAGGCAACAGGCCGAATCAGCAGAATAGGGTCACCGGTGCAAACAAACAAGAATGATGCCACTGGACTTGCCTATAATTTAACTAGACCACCACAGCTACATATAGTACAGGTTGAATCCGAATAAATTCAATATAGCATAGTACAGATATACTGGTCAAGTGGAGCTTTTTTTCCAGTGCCGATTTCAGTCAACATGATTCGCACCTCAAGTCGCCGAATTATTCGAACCCCGGACTGCGCACATACGCTTGATTACAAGTACATGTATCACACTGCCCATGTACATAGAAAAGACTAAAGAAAAGAACATTATTTCGAAGTTCTCCACAAGCATTGTCATCGCCTTCTCGTCAGGTGGATACAGGCAGAAAAGAAACTACCCAGCATTACAATAACTTTTACACAGTGTATACTTGTAGGTGATATATGCAGTAGCAGGAGGATTAGTGAGAACAAACACACACAAAGAAGACAGTGTTGATTCTCGAGCCTATGAAAAAGAGAGAGAAAAAGCAAGTCCTGTTGACAGGCTTTTGTCCTGCACAAGTGGTGGAGGTGACAAGAGGTCAACATAAGCGCCATATATAATATTGAGATAACAACAGAAGACAAGCAGACCAAATTAACGATGTGTTGATGTTCTACCATCAACTAAAAATCTGTGGTGAACTGGTGTGTAGACGCGTGAAACCACGCGTTGAACCACGCGTTGGTGCGTATTTCTGTTGCCTTTTGGGGCACAATGCGTATGGAAACGCACCGAAATGGAAATTCCAACGCGTATTTCAGCGCGTATCTGGCACGTAGGGTGTACATGCAAGCGTACATGCCAGTCACTTTGACTTGCGGGTAAAAAACACCACTCGAAGGTGTAGCATGACCTAAAAAAACGATGCGAATGAATGCTTTTTGTGAAAGCCTCAGCGCAAGAATAGACACATACGAACTGTAAACATAACGTGTACACGTGCAAGTTCTGAACACATCTTAACCCTTTATGTACGGAAAAAATGTACGCAGACTGAATTTGATCTCGACTCACTTCATATTCCATAGTTCTCCGGGTCATAACTTTGGTCTCCTTTTGACGATTTTTTCAATCTTGGGCTTCCTGGAAAGCTCGTCGCAAGAGGAACAAATTGAGCCCACACTTACCACCACGAAGGTCAAAACGCCAGCGCTACAACCCAGCGTCTTAGTTGCAATGCCAATATTCCGACAGAAATCGTCTTGTATCGGCCATTTCGCTCTCCTTGTTTGTAACTAAATTTTTACTTTCAAAAAATTCGCAAACTGCCATGAGTCTGTTTGCCATTTTGAACGTGTTTCTACGTCACTGCATGCCTAGAATGGTGGGGAAATCCATCATTCAAATTTGCGCCCTGGGCTATTGAGCGACAATTGCCGCGGTTTGACTTTCGAGCTTTGTAACTCTGGAACCGCACATGGAAGTGCTTCCGTGATAGTTCCAATGGACAGATGGGAGTTTTCTCTTCGACCTACATATTTTAGTTTTTGGAAATAATCCAGAGATGACTGAGTTACGATCGATTGAAATTTTGAAAAATTTCGATCCCAGGGGATCGAAAGTTGTACAGTCCGTACACAAAGGGTTAAGGGGGAACCGGTTCTGTTTTTGCTTGTATGGGTTTGGTTTCTTTTTTTGACAGCTTCAAAATACTAAACAACTTAGCACTGCGTGAACGCGACAGAATGGAGAAACAATTCTCTGAATACACATCAGTGACATCACAACATTCAGGATGCTCAACCAATTGTATAGGAAAGTAATAAGACATGTATGGACTCGGATGGAGAGCCAAGGATAAATTTATAGAAAAGAAGAGGACCCAAGGAACTACAAGTTACGCTATAGATGTGCTAGAGCTGATAGCCAGTTAGTTGTAGAACGTCAGTACTGTCGGTCAGTACCGTGCAATGTTATCGCATGAGGTGATTGTTTAGTAACTGGTGATGTTAGTGGACATTATAGCGTAACTTGTAGTTCCTTGGTCCTTTTCTTTAAGTAATACATATAATTACTATTAGAAGTGTTTTCCTGGAAAATCACGGTTCAAATCACACGTGTCAAGTTTCCACCTGTACCAGTACATGTACCGGTACTTGTACCAGTACATGTATTCGTATCACAGCTCTCGCCAGTGAAACTGAGTTGCATAGCTGCAAGGAGTACAGGTCTACTCTCCATATAACGTAATCTCTGGGACCACGCAAACATTATGTTATATCGAGAGTTATGTTATGTAGAAAACCGTGTGTAAAATACAAGATGCACCTCAAAATGAAGGGCATTACAAGGCGGGTTCAACCGTGCAAACATATACTTTCAAGTATACACACTGTACCACCATCGACATCAGATACCATCAATGCCGCAGAATATATGCACATAGGACTAAACTGGCTAGCTACGGCTACAGCTTGATTGTACCGCGCACGTGAATCTACGTTGTATCGAGAGTGTACACGTCGGGGACTGCGCCGTAGGGTGCGTTATGCCGAGGTTTACGTTATGTAGGACTAAACTGGCCTAAACTGACTAGCTACAGCTACCGCTTGATCATACCGTGCACGTGAATTTATGTTGTATCGAGAGTGCGCACGTCGGGGACCGCCGTAGCGTGTGCTATGTCGAGGTTTATGTTATGTAGGATTATTTTGTGTAGAACAAATTGTGTATGGGAGTGATGCTGTTTCGGCGCGGGATTTGATTTTTTTATGTACTAACGAGGTTTATGTACAAGTGAGAGTTGTTATATCGAGAGCAGACCTGTATATGGCTGCTTGACTCAGCCCAAGGACAGAAAGTGGGCCACTGGGCAGAACTGTAGTCAGAATTCTAAACGACGCCTTGCGCAGCTTCATTGAACTTGAATCATTGCAGGCAACTTGCCTGCACACAAGTATACACTTCATTTCACACAAAATCCAGTAGACGTCTAACGTTTCGGTCTTGGTGACCATCGTCCTGTACTGGATTTAGTGTAAAAAAAAAGCAGTGCATACCTGAGTGGAGCCAAGTTGCCAAATAAATCAGAACTGTAATTAATAATACGTCAACTCCCTCAAACTTATGAACAATCTAATAATATTATAAATAAATAGAGGTACAAACTGCCAGAGCAATGCGCTAGTACGTGTACAGGGACAGGAAAAAGTGATCGCTGGTCGTGTTCAGCATGTAGTCGCTGCTTATGGTGCATTTTTGTGTACGCGCAATTGCTCGGCAACGTGATCAACAGTAACAGGTTGGCCGCTGCTAGCAGCGAAGGTCATTAGTTCCGATAAGATTTTTAGACCAATACTCAAAAGCAAACTACCAATGTCATGGAAACAAAATGACCCACCTTCTTCTGTATTTGGAACACATTCAACATGTATGGAAAGAGAGCATCCCATGATGATGGAGTGTCTTCTTTTGTGTGCACGACTTTGTCAAAAAGAGTTCGACCAATTCCTTCACCTGCAAGTCACAAGCACAGCACGTTACAAATATATTGGAATCCAATGACACAAGGTAACAGAACACGGGATGTAGTCGTCTTTGCCACCACAACACAACCAATGTCCGTTCAGTGGGCACGCTGTACACTCACACACATGCCTAGCCTGTCCAGTGCGATCCTGCTACATACACATTCTAACACACAAACACAGACACCCACACACGCACATTACTAGTAATGCTTCACCATGCTCGAATGTCCGAACCGGGGCTTTTTCCCCATACGGTTCAAATGGTCGCAAGACCGGGACTCTGCCAGCCGGGTTATGGTTGTAGTCAGGAGCACTGTGCGTCCTTTTCCACTCAGATTAATATTGACATTCTCATATTAAACTTCAGGTGAAAACATGCAAGTGAAATCTCGTGTTAGCGTACGAATGCATGGTGCCTACACGAGGAGATTTCAATTGAAATAAGAAATAAATTCAGCAAACAAGGACTACTCGACTTCGTACTTTGATTCAACTCATACGCATGAGACAGCGCTGCAGAAACCTGTGGCACTCGAAGCTGTCGGGCAACTGAAAATTGCCTGGGCCGAAGGTAGGCAGGCCTCGCTGAGCATAACAGGTACGAAACACACCGCACACCGTGCAAACACATGCACACCCAGATTCACCGACGTGTTTGGAGGTAAGACACTAACAGCGACAAGTTCAGTTACCCCGAAGAGCTACACGTCGCACTGCTGCAGATGCCATTACGCTACTGTCACCTCTCCATACCCAACAGCAAGAGAATTTCTCACTTGGAGTGATCAACTTTCTTCTTCAAAACCAGATTACAATGCATGCAATACGGTATGGGATGGTGGGATGTGATCACGTAACTACTAATTTTTTTCTGCTGTGCGAATAAAATTTATGCATGCAGTGTCCACTTAAGTACTTCATAAAAAAATTTTGGATCTGGAGGGATCGCACAAAAAAAGTAAAGAAAATCATGTGGCCATTGTTGTCAAGACAACACGACCGAGTTTACATAAGAAACAATAATTATGGCGGCGATACAATGCTGCTTTTGTGCACTTGCGTGAAGGAACATCAGGCCGGCGGCGCCGGAGCAATAATTATAATCCCTATGATTGGAGTCGTCGTACTGCAATAGTGTATTCTCTACTGGGCATTGGGAGACGGCATACAACTCCCTAATAGTAATACGACCTCCTTCCTTGGAAAGTACTACTGGTATGTATTAAAGTGATACTACACTACACTATCTATATCTACTCTATGATACTACCAAGAGTCTTATCTGGTTCACATTCCCGTCACACTTGATACTACCGTTGAAAATCATCTGACAGTAGTACTGATTCTAATACAACACAAGCTGCAAGGCTAGGCTACTGAGTACCTCCAGAAGAACTAGTAGTGCATGTGATCAGGTAAAATCAAAAAAATTAGGAGCACCCTTCAGAAGCCAGGAACTTTAAACTTTACTACTGTACTACTGAAGTAGATGTCGTTGGGATGTGTGTCATTCATGGGCTGGTGGCCCTTTCCCAAAGGCGTTATCACAACAATTAATTTTGTTTTCAGTTGTCACACTCGGTGCATGAAGAGTTTGACATGCCCGTGCCACTAGGAAAGACTATGATCAACGTACCGTGACCAGATTCAGCGCTGAATTCGAAAGAAAGAAAAAAGAAAAATCAAGGTACATGTAATTTGGCTGTGGAGGTGAAAATCAGCTTGGTGAATTAGAATGTTCAATCCGCTCAGAACTGTGCACCAGTTTCAAGAAAAGGAAAATAAATAGAATTATTCAGCATCAAGAGAAATCGCAGTCTACTACTGGCAAGCATCAAGATGAGCACGTGATGTAGCTGTTTGGAATACAAACACCGGCTCGCGCTTTTCATATGCCAAGGTTCACAAGGAACAGCAGATTATGTGTACAATTAGGGGGGGGGGGGTACGACAGCACTGAGACAGCTAAGATTATCTGCAAATTAGCTCTATCATCATGAGGACGGATATGGCGAGCTATATGACCTGCGCATGAGTTTAGTCTGATATTCTCGGCTCCAGTTTCACGGAAATATTTGTTGACAGGGAATTTAGATCTCGCTTAGTCGTCGGTGACAAGTACAGAGCATGGCTGACTGTATGCTTTCTGTTGTCCCACAGTGACCCGGCAATAATACATTCCACTATGACCTGCGTGACTGCTCACTGTCATTTCCAAGTGTTCCGCAGTGCAGTTGTCCAGGGTATGCGTTTCCAACTCTGATGGAGTCACACGATACCACTGGTACACTGCTGCTGCTGCTGCTGCTGTTTCTCCATGACCTGTTGATTCAGCTGCTTTACAGTGTAGCTGTAATCTACTACCAGCTGTCAGGCAAAGTTTTAATGGTGGGTGCTGTAGGATCAATGGCATGGGGATGGTGGTTGGGACATGGTCAGCAACCGTTTGTCTTTGCGTCTCTGCAGACAACCTTTCATCAGAATTGCTGTCACTGAGCATAGGAAGGGTGAGCGGTCTTGTGACATGACGGCCGCTGCTGGGATTTACTGCTTCGTATCTGCTCGAGTTTTCCTCATCAGATTCGACTCTGATCCGATTTGGACTATTTCCAGGTGAGGGAGAGCTGCTGTTTCCACTGACTGGATCCCCTGTCCGCACAACCATTCAGAAGAGAAAAGGCAAAGAAAAAATAGTCAACACACGTGTCTTGCATACAACGCAGCCAACTGGCCATACAGTATTATATGCACTCACCCTGGAAACACTATTGGTATGATGAAGGAACGGTGACACAAATTTACTGAAGCTATCCTACAATCTTCTACTGTGATGTCAGCCTCCCATACTGACAACACACTGCTTGGCGGACGGATGTGTGCACACATACAGGGGTCATCTTTCCCAAGTTCAACATTATTAAAAACAGAAAGAAAATCACACTGAGAGACAAATTAGACTGTTTTCATCTACGGTTGTGGTGTACGGCTAGCACAGTGACAAGTGGAATCTGGATCGCTGCACGCTTGCAGCACCAAAGGCCACGCGAGCTCGCATCCGTACACGAGGTACCACATGTAGTTAGTACTGAAGTAGTTATCAAGTTCAACACCAGTCGACTAGTCCGTGGCGCTGAAAGCATACATTGGCCCGTGTTTCACCGACCACAACTGTGATAATCGTGCAAGTATTTACACATGTGCCACCGCGTCAACTATTCTACCACTGGAACGGGTGTTTATAAGTGCTTCAAAGTGTCCGACTGTAGCTATCCACGCCAACAGCATCATGCCAGGATACAAACAGTCATGCGTACTAGTAATGCCCAAGTAGCAGGTTGGTATGAGCACGTCTCTACTCATCCAGTACATCACTTGGCAGCTGTGGATGCTTACCAGGGTGAACGGTAGCCGGATGGGATGACTGAGAACCAAAATGATTGCTGACAGAACACATGTAGACTCCAGCTAGACGGTGGTCTTCTGTTGCCAACGCCGCTGCTGCTGCTGCGTCTTCACTGTCACATTCTGAGCGCAGTGTCAACAGTGATGATGTTGCCGATGGTAACGGTCTATCATTGCGATACCACTGGTAATACAGTGGCTGTGCACCAGTTGCCAAACACTCCAGCTCTATGGGCTGCTGGGTTGTACGTAGCTCAACTGAAGACGGATGAGACATGATCACGGGGTTGGAGCAGTATGCTGTGCATAGACACCAAAGACAAATCAAAGTAAGGACTTGCCATACGTCCCAGGCTGCAGTTCTAGCTCTCTTAACATAGGCCAGAAATCCACCCTGTGACGGGCTTAACTATGCCCCAAACAACGAGAGCACATAACTTTTGTGCTCTCGCCGGAACATTCTTTTCAGTGCAAACACCATTCGGAATGTGACATTTTGATTTGATATACATGTACATGTGCTGTCATCAGAGCCGCTTCGATCCTGCAAAATACTGTGTACTGTATCTACGAAATTGAAGGGGGGGGGGCATCCCAATATGGCTCTCAGGTATCATATCGAGGCATGGATACCACAAACAGCACTGCACGTACTCTGGATCATTCTGCTTAGTAGTGGCAGGTGCACGTGTGCATAGGCTTTAGGTTAGAAAATAAATAAATAAAATCGATACAAATGTGCATCAGAGACCATTCAATGCGCCTGTAGCATATTATTATGACGTAATTATTTTAGAAAGCAACTTGTTAAAAAAAGAGAAGGACAAAAAGCAACATGTAATAAGCTTTTTGAATGGTCTCTGCTGTGATAACAACTACACCATAGATTATCCATATAGATAGATCACTGGCCTACAGCTAAAGCCCCCAGCTCTTTAGACTGATCCAGATAGTGGCACGGTGCAGTTTTCTCCAGGCTTTTTCCTTTTTCCTTTTCCTCATTCCATTATTATGTCAATTAAATGTTTGTATCAATCTGTACCTGTACACACCTGTAACCTCAAACTTCCTACTTGTACAATAGGCATGTACTAGGAAAGACAGTACAGGACATGTTGTGCTTGGAGCCTGTGTGTGTCTCTCGCCTCTCGGATGACATCAGTGATTTAATCATAATTATGTTTCCAAGTACATGCGCTTTGATTGGATTGGGTTTGAATGACCACTTGGCAACATGAACAGGAAGCACAGGTTTTGGTGTCTTGCTTTTTCCCCTGGGTACCATGTTCCTGAACATGCAACTCCATTCCAATTCCCACGGCACGCCAGTCAGTTGAGATCATTTCAGCACTGAGACATACACATCTGTCCTACTCTCTGTACCATTGTCTTTCATTATTCTTTTCGAGCTGGGTAGGTGAACATAGTAAAATAAAATAAAATAAAATAAAATAAAACCACACACACACACACACACACACACACACACACACACACACACACACACACACACACACACACACACACACACACACACACACACACACACACACACACACACACACACACACACACACACACACACACACACACACACACACACACACACACACACACACACACACACACACACACACACACACACACACACACACACACACACACACACACACACACACACACACACACACACACACACACACACACACACACACACACACACACACACACACACACACACACACACACACACACACACACACACACACACACACACACACACACACACACACACACACACACACACACACACACACACACACACACACACACACACACACACACACACACACACACACACACACACACACACACACACACACACACACACACACACACACACACACACACACACACACACACACACACACACACACACACACACACACACACACACACACACACACACACACACACACACACACACACACACACACACACACACACACACACACACACACACACACACACACACACACACACACACACACACACACACACACACACACACACACACACACACACACACACACACACACACACACACTTGTACTTGTACTTGTACTTGCTCACTGCCAAAACTGGTCACGTGGGTCTCCCCGGGAGAGGGGAGAGAGACTCAAAAGGAATCTTGGAAAGATGACTCAATTGGCCATTGAACCACCCAACGGCCGACACCCCCTGAAATCCCCAAACTAGGGTGGACTTGAAATGATCCCACTTATGGGCTCACCACACCTCAGTAAGTGGGTGAGGACAAGGTGCAGAAAAAGGATTGACGGCATCAGGGTATCCGTCCCGGGATCCAACTGCAGTTACCCCTGCCCCCAGTGAAGGTAATACTGGGTACTAGTGTGGGTGGCTAAACCAGAGCGGATCTGATATAAGCTTCACTAGCACCATTGATCACACAAGAGTTAATCTAGCCAGAAGCAGTCCAGGGTTAACAGGTATGTATACTTCAAACAGAAAGTATATGAACCCTGAAACCAACAAAGGTGGTAGGTACAACAATACACCTTCAAGCAGCCGAGCCCGTTGGCAACAGGCCCAACACTATCTGGCATAAGTGCACCCACCAACCGAACTAGCTGGCACACACACACACACACACACACACACACACACACACACACACACACACACACACACACACACACACACACACACACACACACACACACACACACAC